GAGAGAGTTCTTCTTCTTCCTCTTCTCAGTCCACCATCTCCATCTCAACCTCTCGCTACCTGGCTTCACTGCAGCAGCAGACTATGAGAGAGAGAGAGAGCTTGGTGACATTTGGATCCAGACTCGACATTGGACTTCAAACATTTTGACGAGGGATTATTTGGGACTTGTAATGAGGACTTGGTGTTGACGACTTTCCCATCTCCCCCCTCCTCTTCTTCGTTTTTTTCCCTCCTCTTCGTCTATGCATGATCTAGACCTGGTGCCTTCCTCCTGTGTATAGCGTCAGGCTCCCTTCACAGTTTGTGATGAGAATGATGTATGTTGGGTCTGAGTTGCAACATTGATTGGGCTAGTCATTGGTATTCTAGCATTCTGCTACGCTATCTTGCACTACGTGATAGAGGTCAGTTTCGGTCAGGTCAGGACTTGTGTCTAAGTCTTCCCTGCGCTATAAAACACCATGTTTGTATGTATCGTAATGTACATTGCTTGTTGAGATTCTGCTTGCACTACATTGTCCATTCAGCCCTTTTCATCACATTGCGGATCCTCGGGTTTTATATGTACATCGCCCAACTGGGCATGTAACATTAGCGACATCATGCTCGTGCTGCTACGCAAACTCTCGCGTACCGGGTGGTAGCCTCTGTATCTAGTCCCGGTTTAGTCCCTCAAACGGTCACCTAGGTCTAAAGGACTTATGTAGCTCATTAGGAGTCCTACAAGTAGCTAGGTGAACACTATTGTTGTAGGCGCTTGCTAGTTTGGGGAGCATCTCATCCCAGTTTACCTGATCTGGTCTAATATACATTATGAGTAGTTGCTGCAAGATCTTATTCATCTACTTTGTCTGGCCGTTAGTCTCTGTGTGTCGTTCTGACAACGTCACAACTTAGACCCATAGACTTTCATAAGATCCTGCCAATTCTGAAAAAGTAAATCGTGTGTCCCTATCACTAACTATGGACAGCGGCATGCCATGCTCGCTTACCCTGAAGTCGAAAAACTTACTAATGACTAAGTATGTGCGTGCCTCTGAAGGCAGGGGAACAAAAACTTCATACTTACTAAATCGGTCTACTATGACCATGACTTGAGTTTTTCCATGCCTGCTTCTGACTCCGGTATCCATGAAGTCGATGGAAACTGAGTCTCCGGGTCCTAATGTAATAGGCAAGGGTCTAAGAAGACCTAGAGGGGCTCGTGTTGTAGTCTTGTTGCGCTGACATACCTTGCAGTTGCGCACATACTCTATGCAGTCTGCTTTCATTCCTAGCCATGTATATGACATCATCAGATTAACTAAGGTCTTCTGCCATCCGAAGTGTCCTTTTGTATTGTGGCATTCCCCTAAGATCAGACTACGGAGCTCTTCACTGTTGGGGACGCATAGTCTGTCAGCAACATTGGTCTTCTCAAACAGTAGCCCGTTCGTGGTTCGGTAGTGCGGCTCACTATTTGGGGCTTCCTTTACTCTCTTCATCAACTCACTGTAGATCGGGTCCTGGGCGTATGTATCTCTGATCTTCTGCTGGCGATCGGTCCCTATATCTAGATAGTGCACTATTGCGCCTTAGTAATCAGCTCTCCTACTCAGAGCATCGGCTACCACATTATACTTTCCTTTAACGGGCTTTAACTGTAGTCAACTTGTGTGCCATCTTGGCCTGTGTCTTTAGCCATCGAAGAGTCTCGTGATCAGAATATACCTTGAAGTGCCTCCCAAGCAGGTACTGCTTCCAGTGATCTAAATCCTATCTGAGAGCGTAGAGTTCCCTCTCATATGTCGATTTTGGGACTTTCTCTAAGGGCAGCCTGGCTGACATGAACTCTACGGGCCTATAGTCGTTGCCGCCATCTTCCTGTAGGACGACACCTATGCCATACTGGCTAGCGTCTGTAGTGACAACAAATGGCAATTACAGATCAACAACTTTGAGGACAAGGTACTCTATTAGCGCCTTCTTTAATTTCTTGAAGGTTGACGTGCAATCCTGGTCCCACTTCCAGATAGTAACCTACGAAGGGGAGTAGCGATCGCGGAGAAGTTCCTTATGAACTTCCTATAATAGTTAGCCAATCCTTAAAACGAACACAACTCTGTCAGTGTCTTAGAAGTCCGCCAATCTCTGATGGATGCTATCTTATTGTCCTCAGGCCGAATATCGTCACTGTCTGGTACATGGCCTAGGTAAAGGACCTCTGCCTTGGCCCATTCGCACTTCTTCCGGTTAATGTTGAAGTTAGACTCTCTCAGCTTGCTTAGAATCTGCCGTAGATGGCCCTCATGTTCCTCGAGGGTCTTACTGAACACTAAAATGTCGTCTAGATAAACTAAAATGAATTTTTCTAACCACGGTCTAAACAAGTCGTTCATGCATCGCTGAAATGTAGCAGAAGCATTAGTAAGTCCAAACGACATCACTATGAACTCGTAATGCCCATACCTTGTCTTGAACGCCGTCTTGTACGGATCGTCCGGATGCACTTCTATCTGATGGTACCCTGATTTCAGATCTATTTTTGAGAAGTACCTCCATCTCTGCACTTGATCTAGCAAGTCATCTATACGATGCAGTGACTCTACATTCTTAATTGTGATAGCGTTCAATCCCCTTTAGTCTATACACATGCGTAGCTCTCCCTCTTTCTTTGGGACAAACAAAACAGGTGCGGCAAACGGTGACGAGCTAGGCCTGATCCATCCTTTCTCCAGGAACTCGTCGAACTGCCTGCGAAGCTTCTCTAGCTCCTTAGTAGACATACGGTAGACTGCCCCCTTAGGTGTTCTACTGCCAGGTTCTATCTCTATATGGTGCTGGATTGGTATGGGCACTACTCCTGAAGGTGCTTCAGATAAATCCTTATACTCTTCCAGCAGACTGGTGATAGTAGGATGGATTTTCTCGTCTTCCTTTGGCTAGTCAGGAATCGGCCTAACATAGGCTACAAACACTTGCTCTTCGAGTTGCTCCTTTCGCATGAGTCTGGCGAATGCAGGAGCGTTGAGGCAGCAATGGGCAAGGGGGTTATCTACCACAGACTCATGGTGTAGGTGTTCTTGCTTGGCTTCGCCTTACGGACTAGGGAGCCTGCACTCGTGCTCTCTAAGGTGCAAAGTGGCTCCTACTGCCTCTTCCCAATCTGTGCCTAATACAATGTCAAACGGGAGACTCTCTTCCACGAGGAGGGTCAAGGAGTGCAACACCTTCTCTATCTTCCCCTCTTTCTCTAGGCGGAAGTAGGCGTGGACCCCCTCAACATACTCTTCAACACGAGGATGCTGACTACATGTTCCTCTAATCGCTGGACCCTTACATTTAGCTTCAACTTCTTCAGCGCTTTACAACTGATATAACTCCCAGTCACCCCACTGTCTATCAGGGCTCCTACTCTAGCTCTAAAAATCTCTACGCCTGCGAGGATAAGTTGTCCTTTCCCATCCTTCTTCATCTTGGCCCAAGCTTGCCTCCTCTCTCTTAACTCTTCAGCTAAGTCTATGAGGGAAGTGTCTAGAGAGACCTTAACGCAAGCAGTCTCCAGACAGCTTACTAGATGTCGGCCTGCAACCTCTGCCATGGAGATATGTGGAGTGGGAGACTCTACATCGCCCGCACACTCAGATTCACATACTCCTGAGGTAGGGGCAGTTGCAACCCCTACCGGCGGCTGTCTTTTGCTGCCCCAGACGCAGCGCGGTCCCTATACTTAGGACAAAATTTGATGATATGACCTGGGTTCCCGCAGAACACGCACTGAGAACTGTTGATGCGTTCTTGCCATACTTTTTGCTCTATGCCGAGATCGTCCCAAAGTTGGCCCTCAGGCCGGGCTGGGTGCCACCATCCTTGTCTGGGAGGTGATCGACTAAAATGCGGACGGTTAGACGGGGGACCTCCCCTTCCTCCCGCTTGGCGTTTGCCATTGCCGCCAACCCCCTAGCCGCCTTGTCCTTGGCCACCTGGGGCCCGACCATTCTAGTCGGACCTTTGTCCTCCTCCTTGCGGCCTCCCTCCAGCCGCGATAGCAGCGTAAGTTCTCCCCTGGCCTGCGCTGTTGTCCTCCTCTAATCCCCACTCGATGTCAGAGTAGGGAACCTCGTCTGAACCACCTTCCTCCATCGTCAACATCAAACTATCTTTGGCCTTCATTTGGCCGGAGACGGTGCGTCCCTTCCACGTTTTCGCTTTGACAGGTCCTTGTGCAAGAACGTGCTAATTCGCGACGCTTGGGCGGCAAATGCAACTGCCTCCCCACTAAGAGTGTCATACGTCATGCCCCGCTGATTCTTCTTATCAAAGAAGTGTCCCTGAATATTTTCAGGCAGGGCATGGTAGAAGAGGTTAAGAAGTTGGGCATCCGTTACTCCATGCCCAGGGACCGCAATCAACTCGTCCATAGCGGACTTAAACGCATTCACACTCCTCCACTGGCGAGTGTGTATAATTTGGAGTTTGTCGGAGGCTTTGAGCCCCCGCGTCACATCAAAAAATCTCTCTCGAAACGATTTCAGGAATTCGGATAGGGGCGTTAGTCTATAGTAGGTGACCACTCCGTTCTCGCAGTTTGCAGCTCACGCGAGTGACCTAGCAAAGCTGGTTGCCTCATCTCGAAGAGCCTGTAAGGCCACCAAAACGTGGTCCTCAGGCGTGACTCCCTATAAGTAGAGATAGGAGTGCACGTTGGCCTCCCAATTGTCGAAATCCTCCCCCTTCTTTCCACTGAAGGGTTCAACGGACCTTGACTTTCTCATAGCGTGGTGGGGCCAGCTCCTCTTCCTTAGGAGTCACTAACTTGGCGCCTTCAATAGCGCCAGTGCATAACTCTTTTGTCTTACTAATTGCCAGGTGGACCTGGTCCACCAGGTACTTCATCATATCACGCGCAAAATCTTTAACCAGCACGTATCGCATCTATCTTTACTTCTAAGTTGCGGATGTACTGTGTTTGCTCGCGATGTGCAATTAGTAAAGACTCCACACTTTGGGTCAGGGTATCGAGTTTGGTGGCTATCTCGGTCTCTTCCCTGATCTTCCCCATCCTAGTCTCTGCCGCCTTTAGATCTTTTTCTGCCCTTTCTGCCGCTTCGAGATGCCTAACTCTTTCTTAAGATAGGCGCCACTTCCATGCCCTTTGCTGCTCCTCCTCTTTCGCGTTTCTCCTCATCGGGTCCCCCTCTGCTTCCAACTCTCTCCTCGCCGCTTCTCTCTCTGCTTGGGGTATGGGCAGCTCGGCCTCCCTATCTTCTCCTAGCTCCAAATGTGCGGTCCATTCTTGTGTGCTCTTTTCAATCTCCTCCTCCTTACTCGTACTGGCTCCCCCTCTTCTGCTTTCCAACGGTACTTCTTCTTCCACCTGCTTTTCTTCTTCTTCTTCTTTCTTCACCTGCGCTTGTATAGTCCCCATCTTCTCCTCCTGCTCCTTCGTCCATTTCTTCAACTCTTCCTCCATCTGCTTCTTCTTTGCTTCTTGCTCCTCCAGCAGGGCCAGCATCTTGGCCTGCTTAATCAGTTCCCTCTTCTCCATTCCCTCCTTCCTCTCTCGCAAGATAGCGGCAGCTCTCTCCTCTTGCTCCTTGCTGTAGGGGGTGGTACTAGTTCCAGACCTGAGGTCCACCATGGTGACGGTGCACAATCAACAGCAATTTTGCGCCTCAACATGTAGACCGAACAGGTTAGCTTGTTTCTAGGGGGCTTGTACTCTCTACTCGGGTTGGACTCACAACTCTATAGTCACATCCACAGAGTCCTATAGACCTGGACAGAAGAGAGGGGAAGATATGACTGACTGACCCTAACAGACTTGACGTCAGCAGGTACCAGGGTGAAGGTGCACATCCACGGGGTAGGGGATAGAACAGGGCTGGGAAGGATGGTACCGGTAGTCTTCTCGCTCCAGCTGGGTCGACGCTCCGGTCAACAGTCTTGGTCAAGTCGTCAGTCAACGCTCCTGGTCAACGCCCTGGTCAATGCCCTGGTCAACTTCGGTCAATACCCGGTCAACACCCTTGGTAAACCCTTGGTCAACCCCTGGTCAACCCTTGGTCAACGTTGGTCAACTCCCCTGGTCAAACTTTCAACCTCCCGGCTATGGCAGACTTTCTTCTTCTTCGTCAAAACCTTTGACTTCTTCACCTCGGCTATGGCTGACTTTATCTCCCTTCTTCGCCACTTTCTTCTTCCTTTTCTCTGTGTCTATGTCTTCTACTTGCTGATAGTCTCCTTTCCCGAGCTTAGCAGCTATGGCTGCCGTCCCCCCTTCTCTCTCTTCCTCTCTCTCTCTCTCGCTGTCTCTCTCTCTCTCTCTCTCTCTCTCTCTCTCTCTCTCTCTCTCCTGTCTCTTATACACATCTAGATGTGTATAAGAGACAGCACTCTCGCATGCACGCATGTACCAGGATCACCC